TTTCGTTCTGTGTTTTTTTTTTAGTATTTTTAATATTTTCTTAACCGAATCTTAAAACATTCTCAGAAAATTGTATTATGTGTTATATAATTGGTTGAAGTTTTCTGGCCAAAAACTCCACAAGCAAAGAAGTTTCACAAATCAGTATATTTTGTCACAAATGTATATTTTAACTCAGGCCTTAGTTCCTCCCAGTTCATGAGCATGTATTAAGGCAAGTCAGTTCACTTTGCATTCTTCTATCTGCCACTCTGCTTCATCTAATTGAATTGTAAACTTTTCAGGACACAGCCTGGCTTTTGCTTCACTGTCTTGTACCATGATCTAGTCAGGCATTTATTGCCTTCAGCATTTACCAGTTTTCATCAGTGAAAATCACACGTGCTGTAAACGTTATGAAATAACATATTATTTCATCAGAAACAACTGTCATGTGTTCAGGTGGCGTGATTTTTTCGGTCTGTGTGTGTTGGTTTGGTTTCTATTTGACTTCCCATGAAATCTTGATCAACATTTCTTATATTCATGCAGTGGTAAAAAAAAAACGCAGTTCCTCTTTTGTTAGAGCTTTTTGTGTGAAAGTTTAATGACATACATTTAAATTTCAGCTTCCTGATTAGATCCACTAGGAAATTTGTATGAGAACTAAGGCTTTCAATGTAACAGAATATGGTTGTATTCTTAGTAAAAGTTTATCTCCTTGCATCTTATCTTCTATGTGTTGCAGTGTTTGAAAATATATTTCCTTAAGAGATAGATGCTGTTAATGTTTGCTAAGCCACTCACTAAAATATTGTTGTTGAAGTGAATAGATTTCTTCTACTCTACATTAGAATAATTTCTTTAAAATATTTTTTTGTAACCATGAGACAAAACATGAGATCTTGGTTTCTTTCTTTATTTCTCCTTAATCTATGATTATACAGGAAAATAATTTTGCATACCCTTTATTCTGAAATCCTCCTGTTCAGTGGTTGTGTATTATTTCATTTCTTCCTGAAATGATATTCAAGGTAATTTTACTCCAGAGGTGAGGAAGGCAGTGATTCTGTAACGTAATCTGCAATATTTTATTTGCCTGCAGTGCTTGCTGATTCACATCATAATCCTAAATTCATTCCCTGAAAGAGATTTGTAGTCTTCCTGATCTTTTTTCTTCCTTAGAAAAGTGGTTTGGCAGTGATTCTCTCTTTACCTGAGATTGGCTGAGTGGTTTCAGCTTCTATAACTGAACATGTTCTCAGAAAGACTCCAGGGAAACAGCTGTTTCATGTGTTAAAGTACCATCCACAGCCCAATCAACCCATGATTAAAAAGATTTTCAGTCAGTTTCAACTGCATGTATCTCTGCCCATAAATCTATAGGTTTATTCCAGGCAAAATTGAAACTGTGGCTCATAAACTGGCATGCTGATATTCAATTGTTAGCAATACTTAAGCAAACACTCCTTATACAGAGGTGTAACAGAAATTGATAATTCAAATTACTAATTTAAAAATTTCACTTTGAAATATTACCTTAAAAGAAATCCAGAAAGTATTTCAGTAAAGTTCCAAGTAAATGTAATTGCACAAATTCACTATTTCTTAGTCTCTCTTTTTCTTCTTAAAAGAAAATGCTTCAACTTCCTGCAGTGTTGGTCATCTTGTTTGTTAACATCTCAAATTATTTAAGATTACTTTTTAAAAAGCCTTGACTTTAGGAATCACTCTACATCATTTGTCCAATTAGTTCTGTCAACTCGCTATATTGTTCTTGTTTTGAACCCAAGTTTTCTGGTGGTTACAGTATTTATTTTTCTTTCTACAGTTAGTACATAATAATTTAAGCATAATGTGACTATTTATTTATATGATATGAAAAAGAGAACTCTTACCAGATTCAGAAAGTAAATTAAAATAAACTCTTTGAACAGAAGTCAGTGTGGAACTGCCTACAACATATCTCAAAAAATCCCCCGTTACTCAATGGTTCGCTTCTTTTGAGGTCAGCTGTCTCACTCCCTTTCCCTGCTACCGCACTAGGATACTACACCTGTTTTTCCTAGCAGTTTCTACAGTGAAGCAGGTAGCTTTTACGTTTATTGTAGCTTCATCTGCTAACCCATTCCTTGCAGCAGTTTGAGCATTCTCCTTTATTGAAGAAGAAAACTTCTGCTTATACTATCACACATGCTTTCAGGAACTTGCTCAGCTACTATAGTACATTTTTGTACATATATTTCTATATACATTTTTATATATTCTTTTATAGTTAGTAGATATCTAAAAACACCATGTTGTTCGTTGTCTCTGTACACAATCACACTCCAGTATTCTGCCAGCAAAACCACCAGCTTCTGCAAACCACAGAGGACCTTTTCCTTAGAGGTGTACAGCTAACTTGTTTACACTGGGGTCTTTGCAAGACCTTGTAAGCTGAAAGACTGTAGTACAGGAATTAGTGCAGGTGTAAAGTGTTTCCTGCTCTGCATTTCTCATCTTCAGAAAGCCCCACAATCTAAGCAGCATATCATGTTTTCTCTTTGAATCATAGTTTAATTGCTCCTTAGCAGAATAAGCTGTTCTGAATTTCATTTTAGCTTCACCTGCAGTCACGAAAGAATAAATTTTGAATGCTTTATTTTAAAGAACATTTTTGTGAAGGCACACCACTGAAAGAGACAGAGAATGGAAGAGAGTAAATGTGAGGCAGCTGCCATCTCTGTCCATATGTCCTCTACGGCACATCCAAGCAATTCTACCCTCCCCTGAGGTACCAGCCACCTTTCTCCAGTGGTGCCAGACAGGAAGTCTGAAATACAGCCTGGGCACTGAGCAGCAGAAGTGGTTGCAATAAATTAAATGAAAGTGCTGACGGCCATTGCCTTGCTTGGTGTCCCTGACTTTAGGGACTACAGGGCACAGACTGAGGAAGAAATGAACAGTTCCCTACACCTGGTCATTATTTAGCAGTTTTTGTTGATTTCAACTAAAGTCAGGTATGTACCTCTAAGGGCAGTGACCATTTGTTGTAGTCTAAATTGATGAATTGGTATAGCAAAGTGCTTTTCTTGTTCTCCTTGAGGTTCATTATTTGATCTGCACTCACAATATTTTTAGTCTATCTGAATTACAGTTGATGACAAAACAAAACGGATTGCTTATAAACAAGTTGCAGCACCATGCAGTAAGATTCAGCACTCCACAGGCAAGGCCACAAAAGCTGACAGGAAATCGCCATTCATCATTCTCCCCATGCCGCCTCAGCCTCTCTTCCCCATTTCTTCTTCATCTCTTGCACCATTTGTGGTTAGCTTTTAATTCATAGTCCCAAAATCACAAATCCTGGGGCTGCAACCTACCAGCATTTCACATGCTGGAAGAGGGACACTTCATGGGGCTTTCCTTACTGAGCAAAGCAGACATCAGCGAATTACCAATGGCTGCCAGTGCATAGGGCAGCTGAGCTCTGTCCTGCCTGCATGGGCATTGCTGCCTCCACCCAGCAGGGAGCTGCTGGCAGTGCCCCTGGGATCACAGCCTCCCATGGCTGCTCAGAGGACCCAGTTTGCCCTGCTGTGCGTGGGGAGGAAGGCATGGCCCAGCCAGGCCATGGTAATGGCTGGCTCCTTGCCCTTGGAGGAGAGGGCTATGTTGTGGCCTGCCTTCAGTGCTGGGGCACAGCCAGGCTATGGTTTCCTCAGGAACTGCCCTGCTTGTCTTTGTGGCAGCAGGGGAGGAAGAGAAAAACCACCCTGGGGTGTCTGGCAGGCGGGTGTTTTGTGACTAGCACCCACAGGACGCACGCTGAAGGAAGGGGTGTTCAGGAGGCCTGGCTGTGCTGCCAAACAGCCCTTTAAGAGCAGAGGCTCCACCAGGAGGCTGGGCCTTGTGCACCAGCACTCTGGGAGTTGGGAGGTTTCAACCAGGGGCAGGTCTTGCAACCTTCTGACTGTCAGTATGAAAACCTGAGGCGCCCCAAGCACAGGGCGGTGCTGGCACCATGGCCATTTCCACAGCCTCTCAGTGAGGGAGATGCCAGCACTGTGCTTCTCTGGTTTTGCCTTCCTGTGAGGAAACCAGGCCCCTTCTGTGCTTCTGCTCCTTCAGGGCAGCCTCTGCTGACAGCGAAATCCTTGTGGGGCCCCTCATCACATATTTCATGGTGGCCCATGTGAACATAAGAGGTGAGGCACCCATGGGTGCCACTTCAGACTTGCCAGCTCAGGAAAAGGTTTAGCTATCACTAAGGGATGTTTTGGGGGGGGGGGCGGGAAGACTAAAAGGGGCATGCTTTTTTCTGGCTGCCATTTTAGGTAAGGGTAGGGTTTTTTTCCTTTGATGGCACTCCTGAACACATGCAGTACTAGGGTGAAATAAGCATTATTATTTTCCTCTTTCTTTCTTCTCTCTTTTTTTTTTTTTTTTTTTTTTTTTTTTTTGCCCCCCAGTGTTGAAACAGCTTTCCAGTGATGTCATACAATGACACTTTCCTGAGTGTTTCCTAATGTCTAGAGAGAGACGAGCAGAAGGAATGGGGGAAGAAAAAGTCCAGGGTCTGGTATTTAATCTCATCTCTTTTACTGACAAACAGATACTTAAGTTATGCATGTGTGTACTTTAGATTTCCCTTAATTTCATCATAGAAATTGTTTGCAATGCCTTATTAGATTTTTGATAAAGTCTCAATCAAAGACACTGTTTTAGATTTTTTTTTTGTGTGTGTGTGGATTTTTTTTTGGTCACTATTATAAATACACTTATGTAACTCAAAATATGAAATGCCTCTAAAATAATATAAATATAAAAAATCTATGATTTAAACAAAAAAAAAGATTATTTCCTCAATAACAAATAAAACCACTTAACTCATTAAGCTCTGTTTTCAAATGATATTGCTTTAAAACAGTCTAGTCATTTTTTGTCAAATGTGTATATTTGATGCATAATAGATAAGTACACACAGCAATATATAATATGGATATAACTCCATAATAATTTTAGTTTTGTCTTTGTAGGATCCTTGGCCCAAACTGACAACCTTCATTCAAAGCCACTATCTGAAGGGAAGAGAGACGAATCTAAAGAATCTCTGTCAAATGTATGTTCCATTTTTTGTCATACTTCTCAATGTGTTGAGTTGTTCTACAAAGTGAATATTAATTTTGAATTGCTCAGAGTTCTTCCAGATATTTTTTTTTAGAATTTCTGAATAATAATTAGAGATGATAACTATCCTAAATAAAAGATGTATGCAATTTATTTTGTATTTTTCCTTAAAAAAAAAAAGTGTAACTATATGCAGAATATAGTATACATTTCAAAATTGAAAATATATTTCACTTCTAATAGTTTATAGTCTTGTCTCTAGACTTCTGATGATTGTTTTTTTTTAATTATGTTTTAAAGGAAGGGACTGTAGTCTCCAAAATAAGCTCTGAGATATTGATAATAAAACAATTGCTCCTATAGATGTAAGTTTTTCTGTTCAAGTATTAACATTCAGTGCTTAATTAAGCCCTGATTTCTTTCATGCATGTTAACTTCACAACTTCACAATAGCTCCATCTCGTGGTTGACTAAATATTACCTGAGTATATGAACTTTCAGTATATGTTTCATAGGAACAGTAGGCTTGAAAACAGAAGTACATAAATATATATATATATTAAAAAAATACTGATGGGGGAAATTATTATTTAGAAAAATAAAAAAAACCATAAAGATTATGATTAGCTCTATTACCACATTTGTAGTAATATATACGCTTAGAGTTATGTTTTGTTTCTATTTCATACAGGTGTTCAGAAATGATGCAGCTGATCAGCAGTTTAACCTTGAAGCTGCAATTAAAAATGTTGGCAAAATGTCTGATGAGCTAAAGAAACTAAATGGTAATTCTGAGTTCATCATCTAGCCATATAGAAAGCTGTTGAAGGCATTGTTTTAGAAAGCATGTTTGAGAATGGCTCATGTTTTCTGTATCATACAATTGTTTTTTTTAATCTAATGAAAAAAATGTTTTGTTTTGAACTACTCTTTATAACAGTGGTTACATAGAAATGGAACTATGTTAGCTAAGAATGGAAAAAAACTTAGTCAAATGCTTTCCTTTTTAGGGATAATAATAGTTTGATAATGAAAATATTACAAATACGCTAATATCAAACTTTATTTAACTGCTTTGAGGTAAACAAAACAAGGCAATCCTTTGCATTTTTTGAAAGAGTTGACAATTGTACTTCAAAAACATGCATCTAGCTAAATTGTCTTTCACTTAGCATTTACTATTCAATAAGTGCTGTGAAATTACATTGCCCTTTGTATTTCAGTGGAAAGCCAGCTGCTGCTTTGTGACCTTATTTTGAATTTCAACCATCCCCTGAAGGCCAAAGATTTAAGAGAAGCTGAAGAAAAAACTCGGAGTTTGACAGATTAAGTAATACCATCCATTTTCATACATTGTCTTCTATTAATAGCAATTGAGTTTCAATTGAAAAGTGACAATATGGTTTCCTGCACTTGGATTATTTTTATTTTGAATTGGAAATGTAGAATGGAAAACATTTTTGATTTTGGCAGAGATTTTAACCTAAATTTCTCAAATATACTAGGTTTGGAAAGAGTAGCAAAATTAACTAGGAAGGTCAGGAAATGGGGCATGAAGTTCTTCACATGCCTCCTTTTAAATGAAGACATATTGGAAGAGTAACAAAAAGATTTAAAATTACTTCACGTCAAGTTATTGCTCTTGTCTCAGTTGTGTTCCGGAAAATGGGATGAGAAATATTCAATAAAAGAGGAACTGCAAGTCATCATTTGATATGCCTTCCTTATTCTAAAAATGTTGCTGTGGAAGGAGGCCACAGAGCAAATTACTTCTGGAAAACCAGAAGTATTTCTATAGTGACTTTCTAATGCATATAGATTCAAAAGAAAGCAAAAGTTAGTAGTTCAAATACTCCACTATGAAGTTTTCTCAGCTAAAAATTTGTGTAGCCAGTGTATTCATATAAGTAGAATTCATATTTAAGCAGAATTCCTATTCAATCATACTTTACTTGTAAAAATTATCATCACTTGTGAAAATGTTTGAATGTTGAAATATGTTTTTAGTCATACAAAACATGTTTATCTGAATAATCAAATCCAGATTTACTTTGTAGAAAAAGAATATGTAGAGCTATAATTTGTTATGTAGGTTTACATTTTATTGCTCTTTCCATAAGTGGGAAAAAAATGGTGATTTAAAAACAAATGAAACAATTTCATAGGAGGCATTTCAGGGTTGTCAGAATTTTCAAGACAGTGTAATAAAATTACAACCTCCAGTTTACACACTCAATGGTAATATTGTGGGATTGATCTTAATTTTAGCATTTTTGGAAAGACATATTAAAACTGAATTTTCTTTCACAAGACTTGTAGCAGGTTTTTAAAAAAATACAGTAATAAAGATAGGCTTTGTCAGCTGAAGTGATTTTATTTATTTATATATTTATTTACTCATAGTTGCATGGAAATGAAATTCTCTAACTTCGAATTCCAGCTCCTAGACAAATATAATGTAAATAAAAATAACATTTACAACATACATATTTGGAGTTGTAAAACTCTTTATGAAATCTGATTTTCTTATCATAGAAGCTATATAAATGATATGGACAATATCCTCCCTTGAATTATGATTCAACACAGAAATGGCTTTAGAGGAGAAAATGTGACAATGTCCAAGGTATTTTTTTTTTTTTAATAAAACAGAAGTTCCTAAAAAAAAAAATAATAAATCCCACTTAACAAAGGAGAGGGAAAAAAATCATGATATAGTATTCTTCAGTGGTCCTCAGCTGCAGCTTGTATTTTAGAACTGAGAATATTGTTTTTTCTTGAAAGAACATAGTAAAAACAGAAAGCATTTGTATAGGAGGAACCAACTTTATCCAAATTATATCTGTATGCTAAGGGCCTTGGGTGTGGTCTTGCAATTAATAATCACATGATGATAATCTTGTTGATGTGTCTCCTATAAAAGAATGGTGGCTTATTTTAGCGTCAAAGAGATACAGTTGAAGAGATGTCTGTGCTAGTAGAGAAAACCTTGTTGCTAAGTGAGTTTAGATGATCCTAGGAGATAACTCCAATTCATGGGATAAGGTGCCATCCATGAATCATCAGTTGTATGGCAGGTGGAAGATGTTATCTGTAGATATTTTATTTTTCTAGAAAACTGTGAACAAAGACAGTTTCATAGCTGAATAACACAAACACAGATCTTGACAGGCAGGGGGATTCAAGGGGAAAAATTGAGGAGAAAAATCGAGCAACACACAAAATTTTTGTGTCTTGCTGAAAGATAGGTGTGTTTAAGGTCCAGGTTGGCAGGTTGGAGTCCAAGTGTTTTCACAGAAATGCCCATAGTTGGATGATCTATTGTTTTTTTGGGAGGTGGATTTCAGGGGAAGAAAAAAAAAAAAAAAAAAAAAAACTGTTGCTTTTGGTTTACTTCTCAACTTTGTTTTGGTTATTGCTTCTGTGGTACGTACCACTTTAAATAATAGAATTGCTGCTGCAATTCTAATCTGAAAAATAGTTTACTTTTTTTTTTCTCCTCTGAAAGCAGAGACTTGTATTGGTGTATCTTTCGTAAGTCCTCTAATGTGGTTTGGAAATCATTTCAAGAAGATACACGTTTGTTGGAAGATAGTTTTCCTCACCGAATGAATTCTTGTGTACTCTATGGTTGCTGGACAGAAATAAATATATTGTAGGAAATCATTTAGTACTACATTTAAAGCATGACTTAAAAATAACAACATTGTCCCTTTTCATTAAAATTAAAAGTATTTTTAATGATTTCTTCATGGTTTTAGTTCACTGAAAAAGGAAGTATCCTTAGGTTTACAGACTTTAGTAGACTTTGATCCTTTATGTGATCTTCATTAGGGTCTCGTTTAAATATGTCCTGCAGCATATGTTAACATGCACTGGTTTCTTGAACCCCTGTCTTTTCCATCAATCAGAAGAAGAGGTGTTCTTTGGAAGTAATCAATGATGTCTGCTACCGATGAAAAATCCTGTGGGATGGAAAAATAAGAAGGTAATGGATAACATGTCAGAATTCTTAGCAATTAGATAACTCAGTTTAGAAACCTTTTTTCTTTATAAGAGGTATTTTATAAGGTCCAGTAAATATCATCAGGTTAGCTGTCTTTCTTCGTGACCTAATATGTAGTAGTTATGTTGATGTATGTGTAGGATCTACTGAAGATGTGTTGTTTCTATTTGACATGATGAAGTTGACTCATAAATTCAGAGAGTTTGGACTCAATCAGTATATGTGCTGACCAGTGTGTCTGACACCAGCAAATCCCGTGCAGTAGTACAGGATGTGAGTAAGCTAACCATCTGAAGCAAGGCAGTCAAGTTGGCAGATATGGATTTGCTCTCAGTTGTGTATTTCCATTATCTGGTGTCTTAGTGGTAAGAAAGCACTCCCTAACAAATTGTATTGATTTCTAATAGCTGTATGCTAAGGCTATGAATTCACTCCATGAGTACAAACAGGAAAATCTGATTTTCCTTTCAGAAGTAACAATTGTAGGTATATCTGTAAAACAATAAGCAGAATTTCAATGGATTAAAATAGCTGCTAGATTAAGTAGCCTGACACTTAGAGAATGAGACAGGAGGCACTTTAAGATGAAGGGAAGTAGTGTGAAAAAACGCACAGTACCTCTTTTCCTTTTAAGCCTGTTCCTAACAAATATATCTGATTTTGCTCCTGGTAACGAATCTGGATGTTGTATACTTTATCTCTGTACAACACCATCAGTACATATGGATGAGTAGCAGTTTTTCTTGAGCTGTCTCTTACCAAGAAGGTTCCATCCTGAAAGACGAAAAAATGGAAGATGACAAATAAATGCTGCTTCTGGTTTTGATTTGCACAACAGCCTTAAATAGATCACTCATGCTTTTAATGATTTTTTCTTTGTGAAATCTGCTATTTAAAGTATTCACTGCCTGATACAAAGTGCAGATATTTAGAGTGGGCTAGTGTCGTATAAGGGAGAGATGCCACTAATGGAGGACGTAAAATATGAAAGGCCTAACTCTGCTTCAGCCAGAAGAGAATTTAGATCCTGGTAAATTTAAATCAAGATTCCTCTGTGATCTGTTTAAAGGCAGCCTAAAATAGTGATTGTGGCTGTGTCATTTTGGTAGAGCCAAGGATATTTTCTTTTTCTCCTTCTGCTTTTCTTGGTTTCAGATTTTAAAAATCTTCCCTTAAAATAACCTGTCTGAAAGGCACTGGATGTGGTCTTATAAGCTAGACCTTAGCACAAGTCATTGAAATGCGGTACATGGCAACTTCAAACCATTGCATGTGCTGTGAGGCATCACAGATTAAACAGATTTCTCACAATGGTAGATGAGATATCATTTGTTTTATCTCTACTTAAGCCTGGGTTTCACGTGCTTGAATCTGTGCTTCATTCATAAATATGGCCTAGAAAAGGGTAGGACTCAACTCATCTAATTCAAGCTTAAAATTGGAATTTGTGACAAACTCTGTAATAGTGACAAAGAACTCTTTCCAGATAACGTCGTTCCTCCTAAGATAGGCAAGATGAAACTGCTCCCTTGGGCTATGAAAAACAACAACAGCCTGGTTTAATCTAGCTGCCTAACTTTTATGTGGGTAAAGATATGCGGGATGAACCCCCCAGTATAAATGTCTATGTCTAAATGGAGCTTAACCGTATGGTGCAATTTACTTTCATTCTTCTTATATGACTGCAGGGACATCTAGCTAGGCTATTAAGGAGGTGCTGGGAACCCACAACAGTTTAAAGAGTACCTTGTTTATTTTTCGAAGAGCTGCTTCTGCTTCTGGCCGGCTAATATAAGCAACATACCATTCATCATTTAATGAATCCTATATTTTTTGTGGGAGAGAAGAAAGGAGAAAGTCAACTGTCAATGGACTAATTTATGATGTTAACAACATTCTAATAAGTAGAGAGAAAATTGAACGTGAGGGATATTGGAACTTATGTGCAGAAGGTATGAGCTTTAGGGATCATACTAGCATATACTAGTATATGGTAAGTGACACTGAAAGATTTTAAAGTGATTTAATCACTTCGAAAATTATGGAAGTATTACAGACCTACCTGTTAAATATCTGCAAGTAAGGTAGGAAAACTGGTATTTCCAGATATTTTCAGAAAAAATAGATTTTAAATCATGGCATCATAGAATGGTTTGGGTTGTAAGGGACAGTAAAGATCATTTAGTTACAACCCCTCTGCCTGGGACGCTACTGCACTGACATCCTCTGCCTTTCTCTCTCTCTCCCCACTCCTGTCACCTTCCCTCCCCCCCCTTTTTTTTAACAATCATCTGAGACAATAGCACAGACTTCCTGTGAACTTAACAGTACTGGGCAACCATATGTGGCCGCATCAGGAGTGGTTTACGCTGTACTTGCCATATTTAAAGAAATGTGAAACAAAAATGCACTTAAAGTGGTTAAAGTATATGAATTGTCTACTTACCAAGGTTTTGTGGAAAGAGAAATGAATATGTAATGCTATTTGAAGACAATTGTTTAAAACCAAGTTATCCAGCAAACAAGTATTTCTCTTAGTTTGTTCTACTGCATTTTACTATTGTTTTACTTGGCAGAGACAGAGAAAAAGGCACTAAATATTGACACAGAAGAGGAAACTGCAAACACCTACTAACATCCTGACAATGGCTACTAACTAGAAAAACAACTTTGAAAACAGTTTGCTCTTGAAATCAGATTATTTGCTGTATTTAGCAGTTATGGTTAATACTTCTGATGTTTCTGTACCTCATCTTCCTCTGTGTTTGTGTGCTGAGCAGTCTGTCTGCTAGGAATGGGCAATGGAGGTCTTATATCGGCTGTCCCTCTTGACGGAGATCTGCTGTTGTTGCCTTTGAAGTTGTCATATAAGAACAGAAAAAATACTGAAATGAGGAAAGAATTTCATCTGGGAAATGGTATATGGTATAGAATCTTGATTTTGTGAGGCATGAAGAACTTGTATCACTCTGATACTGAGGCATTTTGAATTGATTTGAAATCAGATTTAGGCTGATGTATGAAATCTAAGTTCCTTATATAAATTGTTCCTTGGTGCACAGGGACACTAACTGAACTCTCGTAGTTCATAGTACCTTAAACTCAGATGAACTTGAAATATAGGTTGCAACTTTTTAGCTTCTGTACTACAGTTACTTAGTTGAGAGCATCTCCAATTTCTTTAGGGACAAATTTAATATTGCCTCTTCAGAGTCCTTGCCTTCTTAGCAAGAAACTAAAAAATATCACTGTAAGACATTGGCAGGTGTTACCATATGCAAAAATCTATTTTCAAAAAAAATTGCTTTCTAAGCTTCCTTTATTTTTGGCTTACTTTTACAAGATGCAGTATATTTTACAT